TTTCTTACTCCGTAACTGTTAAACTGAGTAAAACGGTACGCGCTTTTTCGCCCAAACTGTTCCGAATTGAAAACGGATTATGTTTTTGGAGTCAGACTGTCAAAACTAGAATTTTGACGTAATCAAATTATTTTTCTAAGAACTTTTATTTTTTTCTGTGTTCGGGTCTATCTCAGTCATAAATTAATTTAATGATATAAATGATATAAAAATATATGAATTTAGTCCAAATGATAAATATGGTGTTGTCAAGTGTCAAAAATTAAGATTTCTAATCTTATGAAATCTCTTTTGAATTGAGTTTATTTTATGGGTCAAAGTTACAAATTTTAATATTTAAAATCGTCATAGCTTGAAATCTATAAATCAGATTGGTTCATAAAATGTACCGTTGGATTTGTCTCTTCGAGACATATCCATAAAAATAAGATTTTAACAAAAAGTTATTATTTTTAAAATCCATTTATTTTTAGTCAAACGTACAAATATTCCTTATTGGATAAAAACTACTTTTGTTTTATAATAAATTTTAGGCCATATTTTGTGGCGTTACATTTCTTCCCCCCTTAAAGAAATTTCATCCCCGAAAATTCCCTAGGTGAGAAGTCATTTAAATTATGATGTACAGAATCATAAATTCCATTGTTTTTGTAAAACACTAATTTTGAGAATTTGTTTTCTCTTTCTTTTGTTGAGTGTCATGAGTATGACATTTTCTCTTTTGAGAAAGGATATACGCGGATGATAGATGTAACGTGTTTAGATTTCTTTCATGAAGACTTGATTCGAATATACTCTTAGACTTGCTCTTGTCGTGGTGTAGGAGTTTTCAGAAGTTCTTATATGGGTTGCATTTCGTGAATGAGGAGTTTTTTACAAAATGTTTCGTGAATGTGGGGTAACTTGCAAAATTTTCCGTTTGTATGGGATGAAGCATGTATGATGAATAAATTTACTTTTGAGGCATTGGATCATACAATGAGAGATGTAATGAGGTTCTCTAATATAAACTGCAGAAATGAACCATTCAAATGGAAAACGGCTGTACTCAGAGGTTATTTTCAACAAATTCTTCCTGTTTTACCCAGAGCTTCGAGAGAGAATAATGTAGGTGCTACCATCAATTCTTAAATATTGTGGTTGTATGGTAAAGTTTATATGTTGACGAAGAATATGAGATTGCATTCAGCTACATCCTCTTGCGCAGATATAGAGACACACAAGCTTTTTTATTGAATAATTAAAATCTGAGATAGAAAGCTTGGACAAGTGATTGATGGAACAATTGACGTTGAAATTTTGCCTGAATTCTTGATTCTATACATGAGTTCTCCCCTCAAGAGTATAGTGAACTTCACTAATCTGAATCTATTGGAGAATAAGAAACGTTATTCTTTTTTTAGGACAAGGCACTATTGGCACCAACGCTCGAAGTTGTAGAAATGGTAAACGGATTTGTCCTATAACTCATTCCTGAAGATGAAATGGTGCACTTGAGTTCAAATTCTTCATGCCAGACAGCTTCAAATGTAGGTGTTAATGGCGATTGAAAAACAGTTGAGTTTTTGAATGAAATCAAATGAACGGGGATTCCAAACCACAAGTAGTTTTAAGAAAGGGGTACCAATTATGTTATTAAGAAACATTGACCAAACATCTGGACTGTGTAGTCGTATAAGATTAATTATTGACAAGCTGCGAAAGAACGTTATTAGTGTTATTGTGGTTTCGAGAAATCGAGTGGGGGAAAAAGTTTACATACCCTGGATGAATTTGATACCATCTGATAAACGACTACCCTAAAGTTCTAGAGAATACAATTTCCAATAGTTTTACATTTTTCTATGACTATCAACAAAAGTCAAGGTCAAATATTGTCATTTGTTAGATTATTTTTAACCAAGTTGGTGTTCACTAATGGTCAGCTTTATGTTGCTTTTCCACGAGTGAAGAGAAAGACATGATTAAAAATATTGGTCCTAGATGACAATGAGAACGCTTGCAACCATACTAAAAATGTTCTATACCCTGAAGTCTTTCAGAAATTTTGGCATTGAATTTTTTTTGTTGTGTACACATTCAATTCCTTAAATATTATTTATTCCACTTTGGTTTTTCAATGGTATTAAAAATCATGCGAGAAGTATATTTTCTTTATTCTAGAAAAAATATTGCATTAATTGTTTTTAGAATTGACAAAAAAATTTGTTCGACCCCGTGTATGGCAAGGGTCGAAATACTAGTACTAGTATATACTCCCTTCGTCCAAGTTGAAACTTCTCGTTTTGACTTGGCACGGGTTTTAATGTAAAGTGAAAAGTGTATAGACTTTCCTATTTTGCCCTTTCATGTATTGCGCGCCCTGTAGCCATTTCCTTTATCCTTCTAATTTCGTCTCAAACTAGTAGCCCTTAGCAGTGTCCCTTAAATCTCTTCATCTCAATAAAATCAATTTTTTTCATGTACTTCTTTAGCAAAAAAATCAAAACTCTTCATCTTAGTCTTCAAGAAAAATCAAATCTATTCATCTTCTTCTTCAACAAAATCAAATCTCTTCATATTCTTCTTCAAAAAATGAAATCGAAGGCAAATTTCATCCCACCCAAGAAATTAAATCTAGGTTTGAGATGAAAAGAAGAAGATGAAGAATAAATCAAAAATCAAATCTAGAATTTTTACCACCCACTGCCTCACCACCAAACCTACCACCTTCAACACCCGAATTGAAGAAAGAAGGAATTGATATTTTCTGCGGAACGACTTGGATCTGAAACCCTCTTGTCAAGTGCGCCACCACCTGGGTGCCGCCACTTGAGCGTCGCAACCACCACCTTGTGAAGAGGGGAGGAGGGAGTGAAGAAGAAAAAGAGAGGGGTGGGGCTGACGAAGAAGAATACATGAGGTGGAATGAACACTAAGAACCAGGGGTGCAGAGTGGGGAAGAAGAAGAAAAAGAAGAGGGGTTGGGTGAGGAAGATGAAGAGGAAGTGGGGAGGGGGTGACAAACAAGAAGGGTGGGGAGAGTAGCTGGCGTCAAACAAAAGAAATAAAGGAGGGCTAATTTAGTCTTTTTGGTAGAAAAAATTTGCTAAATAAGGAAATGAGAAGAAACAAGTGGGACATCATCCCAAAACGGAAAGTGGGAAGAAAGATATGGAAAAGAGGGAATATATATATATATATAAAGTAGAGTTCTTTGGTTGTGACGCTGCCATGTGTCACACCACATAGGATGCCACATAGGATATTTTCTGCTTATTTGGGCATTTACTGACTCACCAACTTTTTTTCAATCCTCCATTCTCATTGTCGTTTCGCCTCCAATCGACCGGCACATATCTTAGGATCGTCAATTCCGACCAAAATTTTTGAAAAAAATTGTCGCCGGCTTGCCTTCCTAGTTTCCAGCCGCCTCTCACCCTCTATAGTTGTTCGTTCGCCACCACTGATTAGGGTATCTCCAAAATCTATTTCTTCTCTATTTTATTTTTATTGAATTCCTATTTTTAGGTTTTTATTTATATGTAATCAAGAAAGATTCTATATCATGCTTGCAAGTTGGGAATTTTTAAATCAAATTCTTAAGGATTTTCTTTATTCAAATTGTTAATTTTTTAGATGGGGTTTACAAATGACTACTAGAATGGTTTTCACATACGTTTCACATAACCTTGCCAATAGGTTTTTATTGAATATGTAATCAGAAATGGTTCTATATCATGCCTGCAACTTCGGGATTTTTAAATCCAATTATTAGGGATTTCTTTATACAATTTGTTGATTTTCAAATGGGTTTTACATATGACAACTAAAGGGGTTTGCACATATGTTTTACATAGTCTTGCCAATTTTTTATTGTCTCTTGATGGTTTTGTATTGCTCTTTAGAAATTGGGTTTACTTTAACAACTCTTTTTGTTAAGTTTGTGTTTTGATTCATGGAATGTTTCAGTGCCTTTTCACCATTATTGTACAATTTTTTTATATTTTAATAAAATACTTTTCAATTAAAAAATAAATATAGCCCTGCTCATGGACAACAATTGATTTCCGGAAGCCAATTAAGGACGCCAGTGGAACAAAATCATTATTGTAAGTTCGTGGGGTGCAGCAGAAATCACCAATTAAGAGCTATGCAAACAAATCAACCAGCTATGCTGCAGAGAAGATGATGCAGCACTATCAGGGTAACAGATGACTGACAGAGTGCTATAACACCTTCTCTGTCACAAGCACACACGTAGAATATAAAGTAAAAAACAACAAGCAAGACACCAGAATTGTTCACCCAGTTCGGAGCAAATTCTTCTACGTCTGCAAGGCCCATGTCCGTGTAATAGCCCTTCCACTAAATCACCGTAAGAATTACACAATCAATCACAACAGAACCTTCTAATGTATTGATTTATCTACTTAAAAATGACTTGACGACAAACTCGGTTTGCGTCTATCTCCATGGCTTGTTACACCTTCTCAAAGATCTTCTTCAAGGACGTAGATTCTAGTACCCCTTCAAATAAAGATTTTTCTTGATCTACAAAAATATGCAGGCTGATCCGAAGCTCATAAATCGAGATTGAACCGTTGGAATTCGATCTCCACCGTTCAGATTGAAGGTCCACGAGTCCTTAGATGCCTCATAAAATTTCAGCACGATCGAACAAGATTTGGTACTCCGATCATCGACAAAACGATAGCTGCGTTTTCTGCAAAATATCAGGGGCAATATGCAGATTGTAACTTTGATAACAAAAGATCCGTAACTCCAATTGACGTGCAATTTGAACACGTTCAAGCCCTATGTGTTGGGAACACCCTCCAAAAATTTCAGTATAATCCAACGGTCGGAATATTTGCAGGCTGTCCAGAATATTTGCCCTATCAAACTCTGCACCTTGTTTTTCTTTTTTCAGATTTTCTTCAGTTGTTTCGTATTCTTCTGCCACCAAACTCTAAGGGATGGAGAAGATAATATATGGAGTATATTAATCTTGTTAGAGTGTGCTTAGGAGTCTCAACCATGTCTTCCTTCTCAAGAATAGTAAAACATGTAGGATTAGAATTCAAGTAGGATTAGAATTCTCTCTTCAAGCTCTTTCCTCTTTCTCTTCCTTCACATTCTAGGACTCTAAGTCTAAATAAAACATCTAAAATAATTCTAGGTAAATCTATTCTTTTTCCAAAAAATAATGCCAACACAATTTGGAACTAACAATTATGTCTAATGCCTGGAAGATTTGCTATATGTAACAATTCTAGCAAATTTTGTTTTCCATTGTTATTGTTTGACATTAATACTGTGTTTTCTTTCTTTATTTATTGATAAAATTTAGGATGAGGTATGAACAACTGGATCGGGCAATAAGACACTTGGACTGAACCACATTAAAAGATTGAATCCAATCAATTAGTTAATTCAACTCAAGAGCTTATATACCGATTATTTTCCTCACACTTTTCCGATGTGGGATACTCTTAACACTCTCCCTCAAGTGGACAACCGGGCCATTTTGAATCTAACCGGTTGACCACTTGCAAATGAACTCCCATTCCCTTGACTTTTTTTTGAGCGCCAACACCTAAAGGACCACGAGACGCTGGGTATGGACTTCCAGACGAGCAATCGTGTTAAACGGGCCACAGGCCGTTGAGTACATACTCCATATGGACAACTGGGCTAAAGACTAACAGCCGCTAGGAATGAACGTCTAGACGGACACCTTGACAAACGAGGTGGGCCAAAACCTGCCCCGATACCATGATAAAATTTAGGATGGGGTATGAACAACTGGATTGGGCAATAAGACACTTGGGCTGAACCATATTAAAAGATTGAATCCAATCAATTAGCTAGTTCAACTCAAGAGCTTATATACCGATTATTTTTCTCACACTTTTCCGATGTGGGATACTCTTAACATTTTTGTATTAATAATTAAACCGTTTGGACTTTAAAGAAAATTAAAATAACTTGATCATGTAAAGTTAAAACTCATATCATCAATATTCTGAGATAATCGATTGATGATTTTATTTTTCTACAATTAGGTGTGATAATAATTTGTGATCATTTGTCTTTTAACATCAAATTTTCTATATTCATATTAAAAGAGAGTATGTTTAAGAGAATTTATTCTACTGTGTTGATTTAATTAAATTTAATTATCCAACTCTTCTGTCAAGGATGGCCGCTTCCCTTAACCACCTCAAATTCTTGGATGATCTGCTTCCCTAAACCAACTCCATTTTTCTTTACACGTTTTAAGATTGGCTGATGAGGTTGAGGACATTATGAAAAACTTTGTTTTCAAGAACAAAAGAAAGGCAGTGAAATCCCTAAAGTTCCCACCTTTTAATTCCTAAACTAATCAGAGACAAATTTTGATAGTCTTTTATTTGGGTACTTTTTTTTAACTAGGTAATCATGTTTGCAAAGTTAGTTTGTTGATTGATTTCAGTTTTAGTCTTCCAATTTTTAGATGAATATATAAGTGTGCGCCATCTTTATATGAAACTGGTATACTTGCTTTCACTTTGTTGACAAGGTCGGTGGGAAAAAACCAAATAAAAACATGTTCTGTGGGACACATGTTCTGAGCTTGGTTTTGGTGTTGACAAGTCGCATCTATGTGGCGTTTGATTTGGACTGTAACATTTTGAGATGGCTGCAATTAATATGAACTGAACAGACTCCCATTTTATCAGTGCTTTAACAAGTCAGCCAGCTGAACCGGATGAGGAAGATGAACAAACTAGTGGTCGGCGTTCATAAAAGAGTGTGAGAACTTTGGGTTCACTGAACTTGCTCAATGTTCTGGCGGCAGAACACTCTCTGAGTATGTCAAAGACCAAGGTCACCTCTTTCTTCTACTTCTAACAAACCCATGTCTGTTGCATTTGAAATACACCTCAACCTACATTCCCTTGGGGTTTTTTAATTTGTGATTTTTATTTGAATTTAAGTTTAGATTGCAAACTGTTTTACTTTTTGACATTGATGGGTAGGGTAGAGATATGTATGGGTACTAGCCTAGATTCTTCATCTTTTTTGAAAAGGATATTTTGTTAAAATCTTTTTTCTATGATACTTTTTCAATAACCTATTCAATTTAACTGTATCGGCATGTGCTCTTTACCATAATATATGGTTGTGAGTTGAACATACTACCAGTACTCTAAAACCTCAAATGTTTAGTAAGAGAAAATTAAAACTCTCAATTTAGCATGAGATGTGTAAACATATTATATCTGCCTATACATGATAGAATAACGATAAACAGTTGGCCATCAGGGCACAACTCTAACAAAAAATACAGCATGGAATTGGAAGCCATCGAGATTGGCTTTACTAGAACAACAACAGTGGCAGAACAAAGTCTGAGGCCTGCTTTAATTTTTTGTAGCTAGCTACCAACTGCCGCTACAGGTACTCTTATCTTCTCAATAATCCGAAACTAATTAGAAAAACTACTACCCCGTAAGAAATAAGAACAATAAATTTTATATACAACATGATCTCATGTAATGAAAACTTATGCAATAACCATAGATAGTATAGTATAACTCTAGAGGAATGGTCAATATCAACAATTTAAGTTTTCCATTTTTTCCCTAGCATGTTCATTCTAGAGCAATGACACATGGGTCTAATCATTAAAGGCAGGGCCAGCTCGAAAAATGAAAAAATAAAATTGGCCCGGTCCAAAATTTACATTTTGTGCCTTATTTTATATTTTTAGAATACTTTTGCTTTAAAATTAATAACAAATTTAAAAATATAGTGCCCTAAGTTTTAAGGTGCCCTGTGCGGTTGGCCACTTTGCACGCCCTTCGAGCCTCCCATGATTAAAGGAGATTAATTCACACTTTTTCAAATATCTGTTCATTACCCTTATTAATATTTTGTTTCCCTTGCAGAAGGAATAAGATACACACAACTTTGCAACATATATCCAAGCTATGCATAATGAATCTTAATCGACATATACTTTTATTCAATCCCATCTATATACTCACTAAAAATTCTTGAAAGAGAGATAAAACTACATCTGGAACACTCTTTGTTTCATTTCAACCAGTAATTTCATTTCATTTATGCTTTGTTGGATAAAAAGAACGAAATAGGAAGTAAGTAGGAAAGATACAAGTATGAAAAGAGAAATTAAGTACATTCCAGACATGTATCATTTTCTCTCTTTTTTCTTCATTTAATGTTGAAACACTAAGAGGAATGAGTCCAGAGACTTGCTGAAGTTCCACTTAAAACATACTTCCCTTCACGTATAGCCAAAAATATTCATAAAACTGATGAAATTATGCAAAAAGATGGCTTAAAGCATCATGAAATTGACTTCTGTTATATATTAGTATAACCTTAGAGCTTGATTAAATGTTCTCTACGTGTTTCTGGACATGCTGTGTGTTTTATACGCAACATACATTGATGTAAGTATGCTTCATAGAGATTCAGTTCACTCTACTTACTCTCATTTTTACTATTTAATTTCATTGTGGACGACATTACTAGGGATGGAGGTAAATCATTTATTGTCTATAGAATTTTCATTTGGACCACTCCCTCGAGTCATTAACCAATTGTGCATATACTCCATAGAGACTTATAATCTTCATTTAACCATTATGACGTGATTAACTACCCATATGGTCGCAATTCTTTTTACATATCTTTGAATCTCATGAAACACACTCATTTTTTCTATAACTATATTGTTTTTCCTATAATTAGTTCTCATTGTTTTTTGCGTAATTTAATATAAAGTAAAATTGCATGGTTCTCATTCCCTATGTTGATTCATTCTTTAATAAGTTGAAGCTTATTTTTTAAATTAAGTTTTAAGAATTCATAAGTCGTGTCATATACTCATACTAATTATACTTGAGATAAATCTCACTTCCTATTAATCACTTGATATTAGAGATTTATTTACCTCTTCTCAGATACGCACGAAGTCCTATGTTGTTCATCCTTTTTTATGAAATTAGTTAAACCCCCATATTGTTAATTATTGCTTATAAGCCTTATATAAGATCCATGTTATAAATATGAAGCATATATGTATATATATTGGTTATTCTGATCAGGAGGATGCAGAAGACAGAGCAATTTCAAGTGGATGAGGATTTCAACATGTATGATTGGATAAAGGCTTCTAAGCAATGAAGCTTACTTTCTCCATCGCAGCATAATTTGTTCAAAATCAGTTCACATCTTTGCCTTTATTAGGGACCAAGAAGAAGGAAAAATAGGAGATGAAGAATCAAACTCGTTTTAGTATTTACACAAAGTATGGTTCATCGGCTGAATGCATTGGAAGAAAAAGATCTTCTAAATGACATACCGATTTTCTACAATCATTTTAATGTTGATGACAACACTTCCAATGATTCTCCCATAGAAGCATTGGAAATACTCAATGAGAGGAAAGCAATTTTTGGTGCTATCTATGTTATTTCTAACTTGCTTACTTACCTATTCTTCCTAGAGAGTTTTGATGCATTGAAATTTGACATTGGTTGTTTTTGGTTTCGTTTTCAGCAAATTAGTTAGGCTGCAATTCTACACTGACTTGGGATGCTGAGTTTGTTTGGTAATAATGCTGCAGTGTTGATCTCCTTTGATAATTTGCAATGATTGTAGTATTATTTATTAGTTGATTATGATTTTGTTTTCTTTCTACTTGGTCTTTTCCCTTAGTACTTTTTTAAAAAAGTTCTTAATCTTTTGTTATGCTTTTTTTCACCTTGAGGGGACTTGGTTTGGACCTCACATCCTTTTGTACTATTTTCTCGTTAATAAAATTTTATTTTCTTATACACACATACATTAAGATATCATATTTAAAAATGTATTGATAAAAATTTTGTGTAATTCATTTTTATTTATTGTTTAAATAAAGTTTTGAATTTTATAGTTATATTTTACGTGAGATTACACAAGTCCGTGCGAAGCACGGGGTAGAATACTATATACATATATATACAGGTGGGAGAAAGTATTATAGGGGGGAAAATTTAAAGTATACACAGAGCATCTTTATTGCGTAAGGAAAAGAACAAAATAGATCGACGAAAAGAAAAACAAAGGAAAAAAATAAAGAGTTACGGAGTAACACGTCACAGCCAAACGAGAAGGGGGGAAAGGACAGTGTGCCACTACTGCTCTATTGCACCAGCGCCGATGCCGCGTATCGTCCGCACCTGCCGCTGGGAAACACCATCGCTTTCGGCGATCGTCACCGAAATTCATGAGTGCCGGATTTTTAGCATTTTATCTATTTATTCGTCTAATAATTGAGGTAGTACGTGGATATGTAATGCTAGATTACTAGTATAGGTTTGAAATTCACGTTCACAATCTCATGTGAATGATTATGTGAACTATTAGATTATAATTTGAATTATGTTTCATTAAAAATATATGATGTTATTGGAATTGATTGATCGAGGAAGGCCAGGTACGTTTTCTGTTGGGTTTTGGGCTCACTTCTTATGTGGAGGCCCAAGTAAAGCCCAATTCTTCACAAGCCCACTCTTTGATGAAATAAGAGGTTAACAAGAGGTGGAGTTAGAGACAGAGAGCAGAAAACGAGAGAGAGAGAGCAGAAAAATCGAGAGAGAAGGAAGTTGTTCATTTCTCGGATTTGTGTGCGCAGCGTTTTTCAGACTGATGTTTGGAGGGTCAAACGGTGTCCGATTGTTCTGAAATTTTAGGAGCAGGTTCGGGACACATTGAACTTGATTTCCACCGGTCAGTTTTGGATTTGGAGGTCTGCAGGCTGAGATATTCGAATCTGAACACATTGGTTGCAAGTGGGAAATTAGTATTTGGTGTGGTTGTATTCTCTTCTTAATTCCCATCAGAGTGGTATCAGAGCTTGAGGATGAACTAGCTGCTCTTTGGTTGCTAAACACTTTACCTGAGTCTTGGGAGATATTTAGGGTCTCAATTATCAATTCTGCCCCGAATGGTATTGTATCCATGCAAACTGTTAAACCAGCTATGCTTAATGAGGAGATGAGAAGGAAGATGCAAGGTTCTTCGTCTCAATCAGAGGTGTTAGTTACAGAACATAGGGGGAGGAATGCTAACCGAGATCAAAGAGGCGGAGGGAAATCCAGAAGCAAGTCCAAGTCCAGATATAAGAATGTTGAGTGTCATTATTGTCACAATATAGGACACATCAAGAAAAATTGCTTCAAGTGGAAAAGAGATAACAAGGCTAAAGGCAAGAATGAGAAAGAGGATGAAGGTGGTGACCGTGTTTCTACTGCTGATCTTGTTGATGATTTGATCTTTGTCACCGATGCAGATGTGGTTAATGCAGTGTCAGATGACCAGAGCTGGGTTATTGATAGTGGTGCTACGTTGCATGTGACTCCAAGGAAGGAATTCTTCACATCCTTAAAGTCTGGCAGTTTTGGCAAATTGAAAATGGGCAATGATGCAGTTGCAGAGGTTGTTGGTATTGGAGATGTCTGCTTAGAGACTCAGATGGGTACTAAGTTGCTCCTAAAAGATGTTAGGTATGCTCCCGATGTCCGCTTGAATC